AAACATTCCCTTTGGGTTATTTACTCAAAAGATTTGAAATCAGATTCATATAAAAATTCTGCCATGCTCATAGTCACTGTAACATTATTCACAAAAACCAAAATATAGAAACAATCTTACTATCCCTTAAAAGCTTGAATGGATAAAGAATAGGTCATATATATATGGAAAACCATTCAGCCTTAATAAAACTATTAATTTTACAGTTATATATACTGTAAATGAAGCTGGGGATACTATATTAAGTAAAATAAGCCAGTCAAAGAAACACGCATGCTGAGTAATTTTGCCCACAGGAAATAGCTAATAATCAAAGTGATAGCAGCAGAGGGGAGACAGGTAGTTTCCACAGGGGTGGCATAAGGGAAAAGAAGTTACTATTCAAAGAGTTTAAATTTTCAATTAACACAAGATGAATACATTTTGGAAATCTGTTATACAACAAAGTGCCACAGATAGTCATGTAATTTTTAAAAATATATTTAGTACAGGTTCTAGAGATCAGACTCATAGTGAGCCTCCTGTTATCAGTTTCCCAAGTGCTGGGATTACCATCACACCATGTGGTGGAGCATACCACCACTCCCAGTCTCAATCACTGTTTCCACTCACCCCGGGGTCAGGACCAGTGTGGCAAGCTGGAGATAAAACCCCGGTCCCTGTGCCCCATCTGACTGGCTTAATAATATAATATTATGTTCTTAAAAACTTGCTAAAGTTGGTGTGTCTCATATTGTGTTCTTGCCAAAATAAAACTTCAATATAAACCTTTTAAACAATACCAGAATTGAAAACAATAATAATTGTTAGGATATTAGTAAAATTAATTTGCTATATGCTCTACAGATCTGTTTTCTTTGCTATGTTATTTATATGCAATTCATGAATAGGGAATTATATACTTTGTGGTTACAGAAGTCTCAGGTTTGTGAACTATATACTTCTCAAATAAGTAAAATTAATTTCAATTAATTTAAGGAGTGGAATTTTTTAATGGATTATAATCATTAAAAATTTTGTGTTGCTAATAACAATTATAGAAAATATCTTAGTCTATAAAAGAGATTGATGTAATGTAGTATACACTTTAATATCAGTAATTTTTGTTAATACCTTTCTTTTTCTCTCTGTGCCTCTCTTTCTGCACCAAATACACACACACACACACACACACACACACACACACACACAAACATACCCCACTGCTTGTCTAAATGCATAAGAAATTTTTCATGCTTTCAGTAGAGTATATGGAATAGAAAGTTTAACAAATGTAACCTTAAGTTTGTCCATAATGGAAATTTTTGTTTTGTTATGAATTTTTTATTTTATTGAAAACATAAATGATTTTGATTAGGTATAAATTAGTGTGTATAGACTGTTTCAAAGTAGTCCAAAACTTGAATATGTTAATCTTCTCAAGTTTTGTACTAGTTTGGAACAAAGTCTGGTGGAACTTCAGGAAGAAAAAAACTCCTGTACCTAGTTTTTTAAACTTTTTCTTCAGTGTGTGTATCTACTTATAGAGGTAATGAGAGATGATTGGGATTTAGGAGAAAGCTGTATTTAACACCTACACCTAAAATAATTTCTTTTCATTTAGTGCAGGGTCTACAGTGTCTCACTACACAAATCAGACTCATAATTATTCT